AAGACGGTCACCAGAAGAGCTTGCCAGTTCCACAAGGTGCTCCTCAAAGAGGGCATCTTAAAGCTTCAATCCTGATTTCAAATAGAAATTCGTCGGACATTATGTAGTTTTGCGCAGCCATGTATCAATAATACCTTGGGAAAACGAATATTCGACAGCGCATTTCTATTCGGAACGAACAATGTGCGAAAAAAAGTACTAGTAAATATTCCATTTTATTAGAAGAGAATCAGAAATGAAGAGGACCGCCAGGAAAAATATAGGAACGAATTTGAAATACTTTTGTTCTTCTCTAGCGAATCCTAGCAGTACTCTTAACCTAAGGTTAGTTTTTCCTCTCTATCCGCAGTTTAGGGGGTAGGGTTCCGCCATAACGGTCCGGTCATAAATGTGATTTTCCGGGTACTTCATGCTGGGACTCTTGAGAATCCATATTGCATTTGACGTTTACTTCTATAATATTGTACCCACCTAAACTGTAATTAACGGGAACAAATTCCTGTGAAAACCCTACAGCAAGCTGCAATTTGCGCTTTATTGTTTAAGACTCGTAGACATGCTGTTAAGCTCGGAGAAATCTTATGTGATAAAGTGAGAGAGGTAGAGAAGTGTCTGTTCAGTGCATTTTGAATGTTTACCTTTCAATCGATGTCGGAATAACAAAACGAATGAAGCGCTTGGTGACATAGATATTGATGAGCTCTGGAATCCGAAGTTATGGGGGGCCTTCGATGGAACAGGGGCATTTCTACTCATGAATCGAGTTAGAAGGAAGCATTACTTCAAAAATGGACAGGCCTCCGGAACGAAAAGTGATCAGTCAAAGTAACCATGAAACGTTGCCATGAAAGCTCGGTTTGGGCCCCGGTACGTAACTTGTTGGGCGCACTTGCCGGTAAGCAAGAGGGGCGGTTCGAGTCCCCCTGGGGGCGAAGGTTTTGTTTCAACCCACCAATTTCTTGTGAAACCAAGGTTTAAGTTATTTTATTTTTCATTCCATCGGCTTTGACGAGGAGAGTGGGTTCGTTTTCAACAGACAAGTAAAGTTCTGAATTGGAAATAACAATGGAAGTTGTCAACAAAAGGTTCTTGAAAAAAAGTATAGTCTGTTCAAAGGCAAGGCCTGCTCTAAACATATGAGCGATCAAACAATTAGAGCTTATAGATCAACGAATTTGAAGAGTTATAATTAGCGCTGTTCCGAGGTTACGTAGAAAAGGATTTTTTTCTGAGGTGTCAGAACAAGTTATTACGAAACAAGAAAAACAGTGCAAAAACAATTTCTTCATCTGATAAGTATCTTAATCACTTACCGGGACTTTCTTTATGCACCTGGTTGCCCTGACTAGCACCGAAAGAGCTCGATGATGGCAAATCATTTGGCGAAACTGACCACTAGCTATCTGACCCGCCGGCTGGGCCGCTCCACACTGGGGACACACACGTATAGCTACTATCGATTCGGGTGGTCTCTATTGTGAGGAAAATTCACGCCGTAACGTAGTACGGGTTACACATCCTAGAGGTCGGGTTACTCCCGTGTATTATGCTTATTTACCGAGTTAAGTTAATTTTTCTAAGCGATTTTTGAAAATTCGCCAAAACTTTCACTTGGACATTTATTCGTGCAGTTGTACTCAGAAAATATATGGCTTATCACTCTTGATATCGGCACTGTTCAATGGTCGTAAGCGTAAGAAGGTAAATAGTAGCCAGAGGATTCACTTGAAGTGCACAATGTGCTTACTTTACTTTTGGAAAATAAATGAAGTTTAATATTTACAAATTCAGAAAAAGAAATAATTTTTTGACGTTGAAAAGAACGTCCACCCGGCGAAAGCAACGAAGGAAAAAATGGAGGCGTTTCGATAGACCAGCGGATAAATGCAAAAAAAATCGAATGATGGCTTGACCGAGATGCCCTATCGATCGGAGAAAGACGTAGCGCAGTTTTGGTTGACCGATGAAGGGCATTCAGTGTTGCGCTCCAAGTTTTCGCTGAGGATCCCGCTTCTCAATGTTGAGAATTAAAATCGCTGATTTTTGGAGGATGATAAATAACTTCGAAGTGTGTGTGCTATGAGTAATAATAATAATAATAATAATAATAATAATAATAATAATAATAATAATAATAATAATAATAATAATAATAAATAATAATAATAATAATAATAATAATAATAATAATAATAATAATAATAATAATAATAATAATAAATAATAATAATAATAATAATAATAATAATAATAATAATAATAATAATAATAATAATAATAATAATAATAATAATAATAAAATAATAATAATAATAAAAATTCTTAAAACATCTCATCGAATTAGGAGCCAGTTATCTGAACTGTTTCTGCTCAATAAAAATGGTTATATAATTTCGTCGACTCTAATTAATTTCGGCGGAATTTTTATGCGCCATCTACAAAAACATTCAGCAAAAATATGTTGTTGACGTACAAATAGGCATAGAATGAGCACAAGATGAAGTTCATCTTTGTCCTTGAATAAGGCATGCCCTTCAGCAATGGAAAAAAAGAAGTCGATGGAACAGTGCGAGCAACGAGTGGGACTACACGGTAACCTTTCGACGGCTTTCCCTCAGTCAGGTTCATCGATCAAGCTGTCCTCTCTATGTGCTTCAAAAATAACAAGCAAATAAGCGAAGATGCATTACATAATCCCAACGGAGAGGTAAAGTGGAAGCAAAAGTGTGAAGTGAGCAAAAAAGCTGCCAAAAAGGTCTCAAATGAAGCCATCCGCGGTGCGTTTTCTCGGCAGTTGATCTCTGCGATTGCATTGCGTTTTCCTGGACGGGACTCTTTGGTGCGGGCGGACACCAGCTGTGCCATTGATTTCTACGAAGTCCGACTGCCTTGCAAAATTCGACTTCAGCAATGTCGGAACCGCTAAGATGAGGGTAGATGATCTTTGACAAAATCACTAATCTGGACCGGTGGAGGGCTTTCCCTGTTTGCAAATCGTTAGGTGTGCCGTTCATTTACCTAGGTGTAGTTGTTACGCTTGAATGGAGTGGAAGCGGATGAATCGCCAGAGAGAAACAGAGGAGAAGAAACGGCTGGAAAAGTAAAAATAGGTCCTCCCTCTCCGGTACAGACTGGAAAGAGCTGGTTGATAAAGCTTCCAAAGCTATGAACTTCTGGATTGGATTGCATGGGGACGAACGAGACCAGTCACCAATGCGATCGCAAGGCATCCCGTTGTGGACGGAAGCTCCCGAGATGGTGCACGTACACCTGTCATGAGGCACCTGGTACCTTGCCATTACTTGTAGAGCCAGATGCCATCACATGTTTTTCTAAACTTTGTGACGAACTCGTATCCTAGCAAGGGGGAATGGATCATTCCTATTACACCTTGGAAAGTGATACTTTAAGTCCGTATTCCCGTGATTAAACACGCGTAAATCATAGTGTTTGAGAAAGAAAGTGCAGAAAAGCTTGTTGGAACTCTCTCAAATCATCTTGCACTCTGACCGACCAAAATTCGAGGCTTTTGAGGGGCTGATGACTTTAAAGAGTGAAAACGGTGTGGGAAAAAGCAAACTCGACAGCCTGAGGCCGGCCAGGTGGCTTCTTGGCCAATATTCATTGTTTTTTCGCTCAAGGGAGTATGGAGACAGAGTACAGCCTTTACCTCATCATCATCATCCTAACAGTAATTGCAACATTAAATGCATGCTTTTTGTTGGCGCGTGAGACTTGCGGCCACCGTTATTCCTCTTGTATAACGTCGCTAAGGCAAGTCCTTTGAACAATAATGGTAGGCGGGCTTGTGTCACTTCGCTCATGAAAATGTCTGCAACCCCATTTAGCACCTTACGACAGTGCGCGAAGCGCCTGGCGGCGAGGTGTGGCTCCATTTGAGTTCATGCACTTACTTGTTTCATGTTTTTTTTTTTAATGTCGCTCATATATCCTCTATTCGCTTGCTGGTGGTTCGATCTTTTGTCGTGTCGTTGTACCTTCGCCTGGTTCCTTGTCTTTTATATTCTTCCATCTACTGGCGAATTGTGCTTGCTCGTCATGTAATGAACACAAGCAGCACTGAACCACCAAGAGCACTTTTCGGGACTGAGTTGAAGCAGATTGTCATCTAAAAGTTGTCTAAAGGGGGATCCTATTTGTGTAGGTGCTTTGTGTTGCATAAACAAAGCTTTGTAACGATTTATTGTATTTCAAAAAAAGAAAACGATATGAACAAGTACTTACACGAGAAGGCACTCAAGACACGTTTAATTGGAAGAATGAGATGGTAAACAAATAGTAACTCTGTAAAGCTTCATAGAGGTCAAAACAATTGAATCTGTTAAACTGCTGGAAGACAAATAACTACCTTCATATTGCTAGTATATCCAGAATAATCCATATAAAATATGTTCTTGCTCGAATTTTGATCATCAAATTGATGTAATCAAGTGAACATACAACAATTTTTTTAACAAGCTTCAGCTAGCGAACATATTCACTCCATCTCCCAACGTGAGGCCAGCCAAGACTCGCAAAATCCGTCGCGCGCGGTCGCGTCGCGACACTGGAATTACAATGAGACGTACATAATATTGCTAATAGAAGTATTACAACAGGAAAGAACATGCAAAACATAAAACAGGGAAAGACCAAGCAGGAGAAGTTAAGTGCCAAGTTAGCGACAATGACGAAGTGACCCTACGGGACAGCTCTCTCAAAAATCTGTTTAGTCTAAGGAGATTATTGATAGTAGTAAGGCTGGAATCTGATGAACAGAGTCGATGAGATTTTTCATTCTCACGTTGGGAAATGCACTACAAAAAGGCAAGGTTGTTGACCACGATTTCAATTCTTGAGAGAAAAACGTTGAGCACATAAGACACCCTGGTTGGAGAAAAGAAGCGTTGAAAATCAAGAAACGAAATTTTCATAAGACGAAACGGGTCTGTGGATCGAATTTCATTCGATAAAATGCTCACGGCTTCCTTCCAGATGTGCTAGTGACTTGGAAACGGCGTGGAAACCATAAGATTTTGTCGAACGATGTTAGATGCATGGCCTGAATTTATGTAACAAATATTCATTAAGAAAGAAATGCACCGTTCACCATATCGCCGCGGTTACTGTAGTACAGTGATCCTGACTTATGACTTCAGTGTTTCGTTGGACATAACTTGAAAAAGTAATGCATTAACCAATCGCGCAGCAACCGCGCCGCGTCCCGACCTGTTAAAGTCCAATTTTTCTGGCTTGTAAGTTGTGTGAAATTACCTGGATTGTGAAAGTGAGAACGATGAAGTTGATGTCGATCCGTTTCCAAACGCAGACGTCGTGGCGGATCTACGCAGTCCGAAAGAGTTGGACCCTGTAAAAGTACATTTTATAGCTTACCACCCACAGCAGTCAATCTCTCTCCCATTTCCTTGGTCACGTATGACATTACGAGGTCACAATTTAGGGTTAAACTGAAGACTTCCTGGGTAGAGACAGCCCAGAAACTGACCAGATGACTTTGAAGAAGTCTCTAGTGAAGAAGTTGATGTGCTCATGATATTTCGAGCCGACGCTGTTCGAGAAGGTGGCCGTGGCAGTTGTGAATCCAAGCTCGAAGCTGCTGAAACTTATGGGTTTTAATTCTTATCTCACGAGTGTTCAAATTTTCAAGACGGGTCTCCAACCGCTGAGTTTTAAAAATGGCAAAGTGGTGTGGTGGCAAGTGACGCTGCTCACCACGTACACGGCTCAGGGATCAAATCCTTGATCGTACCCTGTTTAGGTCAACGAAGTTCCCACCTCTCCGGGGTCGGTTAATTGGTACCAGACTTGCTGGGAGGATAAAAACACTGACTGTACATTGAGTGGCCCCCCAAGTCATTGTATAGGCTAACCAGCATTCATATTTCCACCACAACTCCGCACTATTGTGGAGAGCGTGGCGTATCCTACAATGGATTAATCAACGCCTAGTGCTTCATCACTATCCTTCCTCTTAGAAACACCTACATACCTTTCTTCAACGCCTCCTTCTCTCTGCTAGCGGTACTGAGCGGTAAACGGCTTGGTCGACCATTTGTATCGGAAAGTTTCGGCACTGGACTTGCAGATCTGAAGCAAAAAAATTTACTACAGCACCAGGGTCTCTTCCGGACAAAAGCGTAAAACTACCGGATCACCTCATGACTACAACCGGCTGCGGTCGAACTACGGCAACAGCGCGTCGTTGTGTCCTCCATGGAGAAGTATTGCGAGAGTCTGGCGATCTGAATAGTATAAAATATGAATGGAACGCCTTTTGTCAACGTTGAAGATGAATTTCACTTACTTTGGCAGAGAGAGATTCTTTCCGCTCTTGTTCGGACTTGGCGACTCTTCCTTTTTGGGAGTTGCATTTTGTATGAGTCTGTCTTTGCTCCAGAGACGCTTTTCCTCTTTTTCGCGTGCTGCGTCCTCCTTGTCATCTTTCGTTCTTGCCTCTGTCCGTGAGAGTTCGCATGCTGCCTAAAAAGCAGAGCACTACATCTGGTCCTAACCGGATCTGAAGCAAGCCTGGTTTGACAGACATCCTTCTCGGATGGTAGTCCGATTTGAGCTTATCCTCCAAGAAGAAATTCTGACGTGGGTAAGGCGAAAACATGAGTGTGTAACTTACTGTCTGGACTAGTTGTGTCGCGTGTTGGGCTGCTTCTCTGTGGTTAGAGTCTCTCTAACAGCTTTTTCCAATGACAGAAGAACCTCTTCGTCGTCCGGCAAAATAAGATACTTCTTACAAATGGCATTAGCCTAATCGTTTCGAAGTCTAAAGCAATCTGATTATCATGGTAAGACCGCATTTGATAATTTCAGTCACTTCATTTTTCGGTGACTTGAAATACGTTTTGGAACACCTCTAGGTTGAATCCCTTCTATCCCGGAATAGGTTCAGACAGCCACCTTAACAACTCCGTGATAGGTACCACTACGTTTCTGAGAGGTATTCAAATATTTTGTAAGGCAATGAAAGTCACGTTCTGCGTTTTACTACTACGTTTTGCACAGGAATGGTCACGATCACTAGTAAGCATGTTTTTATAAGGAAGGAGAGCTGTAACGATGAGATAGAGTGCTAAGGAGAGATAACAGACGAGAGAGCATAGCGACAAACGAAACGCATACACCCACTTGATGCTGATAATACTTCAGACCGGTTTAGCCATTGACGAGGCCTTACTGCTTTGTCAGACACAAAGAAAACAGACAATGTTTGAGTACCCCGCCCGCCCCGCGAGAAAATATCGATTGTTTGAACCATTCTAAAACTCCTTAGCCCAGTTTGGAATGCACTTCATAGTTGCACTTCCTGCTGCTGGAAGTTGATATGCGTGATGGTCTGTTGTAGATTTTTTAACGCGTAACTCACGCAGAAGAATGGAGATTTCCATAGGATATTGGAGAACCAAAGAATAGATGACAGTTTTGAAAATGAACCCACCTGACGTTTGAGACATTATCTTGAATAAGTGATAGCATTCTCTCTAGGAAATATTTATGAAAAATTTTCGACTAAATATCTTCAATACACATTCCACTACGTCCAAATAGAGCAATCGACGATAACAGCACTGATGTCCAGCTACTTCTGAATAGTGAAGTTTAACCGAACACCAAAATTTCATTTATTTGAAAGTGCATACCATTAGTGCAGGGCGGAAGTGGTGTAGTGGCAAGTGGCGCGCTTACCACGCGAGCGGTCCGGGGATCAAATCCTGGGTCGTGAGTCGCCCGGGCCAACCAAGCCTTCCATCCCTCCGGGGTCGGTTAATTGGTACCAGAGGTTCTGGGAGGAAAAACACGTGAGTTTATCTTGTTCTTTGCTTTGTTAAGCTGCTGTTTTAAACGCCCGCAGTTCGCGTTGCGAATGTTTCAGCAACAGAATGCTGAGTGTGAGACAAGACTTACAACATCTGGACCGCCGCAGTCATTCGTATGAAAGCCACATCCACAATCAAATGCCCACTACGAACGTAGCAGAGGAATGTAACTATGTGCGCATCGCCAAAAAAAGGCAAGATGCTTAGTATTATTATTTTAATTCAGCATCCCACGAGCGGTGAGAAGGATACTCAAAGCGCAATAAAAGCTGGGCAAGTTCTATTAGCTAGCTTTCTTCTAATCTCTGTCTCGGCCTTCAGTGACGCCAGCTGTACGAGTAATGACACAGCCGAGTACGTCTGGCCATTCGCTCGCGTAGCTGACCTACCAGGGTAGCTACAGTGGTAGAAGGTGGCTAGGATTTGAACGCATAGTCATCGAATGGCTACATGCAATTATGATCGGATAAGTGTCCCATAAAATCTGAGAATAAGAATCCTGGCTGCCTATATCATAGTTAGGCATGATACGTTCCGCAAGTGTTGCAGAAGCGTCGACGAATATTACAGCTGAGTATTCTCAGAAAATGTCCATTTGTGCGTAATTAATATTAATTTTAAATGCGTTAGATCTTTAGAATCATCATAGCAGAACCTTGATCTTAATCGCCTATTAGATCTTGTAGAAGGTAGTGCAAGTGTCGCCGCATTACCACCCGCATCGCGCGAGTTCATATCTGGGTAGACTTCGTCCCCGCGCCAACCAAAGTCTAGCCATCCTTCCATGATAGGTTTTAGTGCAAAATACGGTATTATGGAAACTGCGCATTTGTATAAGCGACGGCCGCTCCGCATGTCAATGTCAAGCAGATCAACACACCACACGCGTCCTGCAGATTGCGAACGGTAGTAAGAGACATGGCGCATTCCAAAATGGATCAACCAGAGCCGAGCGCTCTCATTTGCCCTTATGAGCTACCAATTATTTTTGCTGACCTATATTGAAGAATTCGATGATCTCTTCACGCTTCTTCTTGTCTGGCTGCTCTCGCATGAATAGGAGCAAAGTGTTGACGGCAGCCACTCGGCAAGGAATCGCTTCGCGAAGATTGCAGAAACAGTCGAGAAGATACTTTCATAACGTGTATCATAAGAGAATGTACAGCTTGCAGGACTTCCTTCTGCAAAACTGGAATAAAGGTGTCAGCCAGCTGGGTGTACGGTAAGCACGTTTTTAGCACGCTAATATTCTCTAACAGGAGCTGCATGACTTCTCCATGCGCCAGTTCCACGCAATAGCTGGTTGCAGCCGATGAGAATTCGATCCAGCTGGATGGTGGTAACTTTCTGCAAAATTTTCTAATAAGTAAGGCTTTGATGAGGTGGCGTAATAACTTAACCCCGCTACCCTCGTGTGGTGATGCACAACTACACAAATAGGCAGAATTTGTACTGTTAAGGATTAACTGGACTACTAATCTATTAAGTTGTCAAAAAGCATCATGATCGATAGACAATTTACAGAATTCTCTGAGGCCGAGGATAAAATAATGATGACCGATGCTTTTCACCTCTAAACACGGCCCAGATTTCATCAACAATTTCTCTAATGATCGAGTGCGGGCGCTATTGCAAGATATGGGGCATCTGTAAAACTAAGCCCAGGAGGGTGAAGCAACATGGGGGGAAGTAGAAGAAATTGCACGCAACCTTGGAGCGTTTTTCTTAATCTACTGAGTCAGGTCCCATTTTGACTAGAACGGTGATGCGTGACGCGGATTTGAAATGCATTGTCCACCACAGACCCTGCCCTTATATTGCGATTAGCGCTCAGAGTGAGTATATACGATGATTGAACCGATCCATCGCGTTGATCCGTAGAGTGCCATCCCACTTATGTCTTTCTGAAGGGACCAGCCTCCCTTGCTTCGTCACACCAAAAAAATCAGACTTCGTTGTGCTTGGTAATTTTTTAGCCAGTTCGAGCCTTTCTTATTATTCTCTTTTAAGACGGAGTTCACACATGGAAGGGCACGCCCATCAGAAACTAAAGTACAGGTAGTAAGTGGTGCAGGATTAAAGAAAAAAATAAGAAACGGCCCGGAACTCGAGAAATAGGACCCCTTCTCGGCCCTTTGATTCCCGGTAATGATTGCGACTCTACTCGTGACTCCTCATCAAAACTGTAAGCACTCTCTGGCTAAACACTGGAGCGCTTTGTGGAACCCTAACGGAGATTTACTGCTAACCATTATCATTCGGTTTCAAGCGCACTAGACGGTAAAGTAGTGAGACAAAGTGGTGGATTAACAAGAAAATTCTATTCGTTCTTTTTTTTGGACTTGTGCAGGATTCAGGCATTTCACAGAAGAGGTTGGGCTAGTGCTTTTGTGGCGCTCGTTCGTTGGACACTCCTACTGCGTAGAAAATACTTTTTCTGGATATTAATTACAAGGACCCTTTTGCTATGCAAGATTTTTTCACTGTACTGAAATACAGCAGTGGCGTCCATCCAATCAATGTGGGGAATACCCCAGGAACACTTCTCGACAATGATTGAAGTCTTACATCACTGTTGACAAACATGCCTTACTAGCGCAAATATTGTGGGGCGCGACTCAGCGCAACTATGTGGCGAAGACCTTATCACGGCCATCCTTCATCTCTTCTTCTCTATTTGCGTCTTCGAGTCCTGTATGAGTATCCCCCGCTCCGCCTCTCGGCATCGACCCTCTGCTTCTAATTTACAGCGCTTAAATTTGAAGGAATCTTTCACGGAAAAATCACGTTCTATTCCAGCCAGTTCACGCATGAGACTCATAATACATAGAATGGAAAAGAACAGAAAAAGTGCATTTGTTTTGGTGAAAAAATTGCGAAAAACTAAACTACTACACGTTCAAAGTACCACGGACGTCTTTCACAAATGCTGGCGACGGGGATGCTTCCACTTGGTTCTTGGAGTGCCTTCACTAGAAACTCTTTCTGGCCTTCTGCTTTATTGCATTCACATCTTACACTTCTACTCCATCCTATTCTATCGATCGATTTGTCTCTACTCTCCGAAATCGCGCGCTTAACCCGATTCTTTCATTGCGTCGCCTGATACGTAGCCGGCCAAAGGCCAACTTCTTTTGCCTCGCCTTTGGCTCCGCCCGAATTACCTTCGATTGTCCATAGAGTGTAGTTTTGTACGTTTGTTTCTCTTCGGAAACCGAATCTTCATGCGTAAAACTTTGTGTATTGCATCTAGTGATCACAACTGATACATTCATGTTGAGAAAGAATGCAAGAATTTTTCCGGGAAAATTTCCCTTCTTCTTCGAAGGATTGCTCTATCACATCACGTATGCTTTCATAGTTCAACGCACCTTTGCAACAACTTCCGGTGACCCTCCGCGAATCAGCTCAATAAATGGTTGCAGAAGTTCCGACTTTGCATCGTGCTGCATCAAAATCTCGTGATAAGAAGACGCCAGTGATAACCGCACTTCATCATCTGAAAAGTAGGTAAGCGACAGGATTAGGATAGTGGTGAGTAGGATATTGCGCTGGCAAGATTGGATACTTATCGATCACAATCTCCGGACTCGCAAGCTATGAACGCAGCCTAATCTTCCCTGTCAATACATATCTTTTTCACTTTCTCATAATCACCTACCTTTCAGATCGTTGACCATGAACGCGCCCTGAAGCGGCATTCACACCCAGCGTTTTGGGAGAATAGAAGAACTCGTGTAAAGGAAAAACGTGTATTGATTGTTTTTCCGTTTTCACACAAAATTCTGACTGTTGACGTGAGTTGTCTTTATACTTCTTAACTTATAAAAACACTTCCCAATTTGAACGGAATTTTTAATTTTTTAATTATCGAATCCATAATCATCTGAACTGCCTGACAATGAATACTCACCAGAATCCGTGGCGAAAGCTTCGACAAAGGGTAGAAGACGTTCGAAGGATTTTGGGAACATTTGAACCATACACTGAAATAGTGAAAGTGACGCTTGGCTCGGGTTAGAGACGCAGAGGAAGCGTCATGATAGATCACGTTTCCACATGATGCAATTCATTTCGTGCAACCAATTGGACAGGTGCTAACAAGTTAGAGTTCCTCCTGTTAATGGATCAAAAATCACCCGTGGTTAATGGTTATTTAGTGGTTTCTGGTCTGCGAAACCACTCCGCTATCTCTTCGACAAGATTTATGGCCAGCCGATCAAACACATTGGTGACGGCGGGGCACGCGGGCGCGTCACACTCATCGGACCATGCGGGTGATGTGGCGCGTGTGCGCGTTCGTTCGCGCGATTTTATTCATCTTTTTTGTATTAATTTCATGGAACACTCCCCAATATAAACAAATGACGTGGTCAATAATGAATCAGGTATTCTATACTTTAGCAAGATTTTTTGGGTCGTTAGGGAATTTTCAGCCAGTTTATTCTTCGTTTTCTTTTATCAAAATAGGCATTGAACAAGAAACCCATGGAACTTAATGCAAAATTTTCGGCTGGCAAGGTACCTACCCTTTGCATTCAGCAGCCAGGTGCGTCTGCAGTGCAGACCAAACAACAAAGTGACGACTGTCTCCACAAAATGTGATGATTTTTTGCCAACGACTACCCGATTGCATTTGTATTCTATGGTTGTTACTAACTAAAAATACCATATGCCAAATATCAGCTATCACTACAAACTATCAATTATCAGGTTTTTGTGGAGGCCATCGTTACTTGTGTCGTTTGGTCTGCACTGCAGACGCACCCGACTATCGGATACAAAGGGTATCTATTTTGTTCAGCGAAGGCCTAACTGTAAGTGCCTTTGATGTCCACTGCAACAGACTAATGAATTTTACTTCCTCACTGCCATTACGCTTCCTTTTGGTAGAAATTCTGCCATTATCTCCCATATAGCTTCTATGCATTTATGGTTGGAATTACGTTGTGCCATCTATTTTTCGCGAACCCACCGCTCAAAGTTTGAGGATGTGAAGCGAGGCGGCTGCGCTCGCTCACACCCGTCCCACGCGGCCAAAAAACCCAAAAGCGTACTGTCATCAATGTAGTAATGTATAAGAAATGATATTGAATTGTAAAGTCCCGCC